ACTCACATAGTGTCACTTGCAAGCCCAGTGCAATGTGTGGTGGTTAGTCGAAAGTCACTAATACGGCAATGGCAACGCATGGCCATCATTTGACAAAATAATTAAAGTTGGGCAGATGCGACCGAGATTGCATTTTCGAATGCGCTTATTGAAGCATTGCTCACCTTGTTGGTGAAATGATGAGACTTCAGTGGGTCGATCGCCTGAGGCGACAACAAGGCGATTGGAAAACTATCACGCACGCATTTGTGCGTGTGAATCAGACCCACGTACACGCATGTAAATGGTTAGTGCTTCTCCAGAAGACCTGGCACTTTCTTTCTTCCAAATTCCGGACCATGCAACGAAAGTTAATCCAATAGCGATCGCTGACACATAAGACAGAGGACATAAAATTGGGCGATGATAAAAAATCAACAGGAAGAATTTCTGTTGAGTTAGTCCAACTCAAGCCAAACGGAATTTATCGTTTTCCTGGCCCTCCAGACAAATAGTTGAGAAGCAATGCTAATTTTTACGCTACTATTCCATGCAACATAATTCATGCGCCGAACGAGATTTGGCCAGAGATAATGTGGAGGCGTCGAACAAACCAAAAAAATCCTACATCAAAATAATACTGCGACTATTTCCACTTATCCGATTTGCACAGCTAAATTTTTGTCAAACTTCCAGTACACGAATCTCGTTTAGGGATAAGCAGATAAATAAGTTCCGGTTGGGTAATCAGCCTGTTAAATATTAGATTGGTGTCACTTGTTAAGGACATAATTGTTTATGCTCCGGAAACCACCGATCTGACGCGAAGAGTAATTATTTGTGTGCATCAGATTGCATTCAGATGTAATCTAAAGCTATTGTAGGTCAAGTGGCTGGCAGTTCAACTTTTTCAAGCCTTGTCATTTGCTCCATGTTTGTTTACCTGAAGTAAACCCATATCAGGCATTTACATTCCGCCTCATGGCAACTAGGAGTGATTCTTGGATCGAGAGACCAACATTGTGTTCAGATCTAAACCCGGTGTTACCGTTTGAAGTATTCCACCAACCAAATTCGGTTTCGTACGCACTACTTCGGTACTTCCCAAGCGAATAAGACTTGACAAGGAAAGTAATCGCTTAACCCAGTTGTATGCATATTTTGTACACCATACCATATGAGATTGATAGGAGAATAGACTTAGGGAATAAGGTTTTCCACAAACCAAGTTAACAGCAAAAACGTGAGTGGAAAGGTCATGAAAATGAGATGGCGTTATTCTATTGCATACCTTTTATGATAACTATTGGGTTGACTTAATCCATAAAAGAATCATTATGCTTGA